GGGGGGGGGGTAGTTAGGGTTGGAGCATAAGTTAAAAAAGGTAAAGAAAAAACAGACTTAGAAGCATGGAAAGCTTCTGCAGTTTACAGTTGTCCATAACAATTTAGCATTTGCCTGCAGCTCCTTCTTAGGATCGTTTGGTCCAAATTGTGATTTTAAGGGCACCTCCACTGCTGACATATGCATTAAAAAGCTAAAATAAAAGAAATAATAAATAATTTAAAAAAAGGAAAAAAAAAAAAAAAAACAGAAAAGGGCTGTGGGTGGCAAAAGGAACGACAGTGCTTTGTTCCAGCCAGCATCCGCTGACCCAGCTGACCTCATTACAGAGTTCCATAAAGAGGAGGACAAAAATCACACTAAGCGGCATTTAATTCCACTGGCGAGGCTTAGCCAAGGAGATAAGGGCTACAGAAAGAGGAAGGCGAACTCAATTCCACATACAGCATTTTCAGAGGTGGGAATCTCGATGTGCATTATGAAGTTAAAAGCTACCTCACTCCCAGAATGAAGGGATTTACCGGAGAGGTTAGGAGTGTCAAATTATGCAGTGGTGTTCATCCTAGATTAAAAAAAAAGAAAGAATAAAACATTGGTCGGACACCAGGATTTTGGGGAGTGGGCACTAATGCGATTTTCTTCAAGTAATGCGACGTTCTTCATGTGACACCAGCAAAGACCGCAATCTTCAGAGGATGTAAACAAACACAGGTCTCGGAGACGGACGACAGCTGGGAGGTGGCCCCATCCTTATCCAGGCTCCAGCTGAAGTGAACCCGCTCATAACTAGGCTGAACACAGCTTTTTCTCAGGTTAAAACCAACAAAGTCGTTTCTACCAGTTTTGTACAGACCCCACATCATCATAATTTGTCCATCCAGTCTTCAATACTTTTGTTCCTTCCCATTCTGTTGTATATTTGACTGATTTCATCCTTCCAGTCCTTAAGCATGGTCATTTTTAAATTAAAGCACATTTTATTTTACAAAATGCTTTTGCACTAAACAACATTCAAATAAATCATGGCACAGGACAAGTTTTCGTTCGTTTCTCCTTGTTTTGCTCGGAAATATCAAAACCGTTTTCAGTGACGTCCGTTGTTCCGATAAAATGGGCCAAATGATTTTTTCCCCCCCACTTGTCTCTTTAAAAATGTATCCATACATCTATAGTTTTATTTCCTGTAAATTGTGCAAATTCAGCAGTAACACACTTGGCAGGAGACCGGAGGAGTGGGCAGTTGTGTAAAGTTATTGGGGGGGGGAGAAAAAAATAAACACACGCGCACACACACACAAAGGTTTACAAATAAAATAATCCCAGAAGACAGATGTCCAGTTCAAGGTCTGTCACATGGTGTCATGTGGCCCACAAGGTCTTCTCCAAAAGAACATCTCCCTAAGCCTATACCATTTTTCGTTCCTCCTTCATGGTTCGAAGACCAACACAGCTTATTCCAGTCCTGTCTGTGTAGGACATGATTTAATACACAGACAAACACGGGGGGGGGGGATCAAAAATAAAACCACAATAAGAACAAGCAAACACGTTCCATGATGTGACTCTTGCATGAACCGAGACCGACCCCCCCGGGCCCAGCTCCACGGGTTCTCCGGTGCACTGCTTCTGTCCTCGCAGTCCCAAAGTCTGTCGGGTTTCAGAACCACGCCATTAATGGTCCTCAGCTGGCCAGCGCCATGGTGTCGATGACCTGCTCCAGCCTGCTGCGTAGCCTCTGCCTCCGGGCCTGCTCATCCTTCTCCAGAGCCGACAGGATCTGCGCGGGGGCGAGAGAGTGGGCCGGTGATGGCGCGGCGTCAGGGAAGACGGTGTGATGATGGTGCGGACGCAAACTCGGGCATTGAGATCACGCCGCTGACTTCAGCCACATGACAGAGGCGGTTAAATTCAAGCATTTAAATTAGCATGAGCTGGTGATAGCTTCGGAAAGCCATCTACGATTGTGCCGTCATTCCATGCAAGCTCATAACACGCGGTTCCCTTCGCGTTCCGTCCTGGGAAACAATGTAACGAACCAGGCGGGATGCCAGGCCACACCCACTCAGGTAAATACGCATAACAAGGGAGACACTCTGCTAAGTGGAGGCAGCTGGGGTGCATTAAGTAGCGGCTGGACGGTATTCAAAGAGCACGCGGCACTGTGTAATACTCTGCAGCGATCTCTAATTGTGGGCCATTTTTCCAGCCTCCCTCCCCCCCCACAGTGCTTTGGAACAAAGATGGAAGCCAACCGGGAACGTTAAAACAGCAGCTCATCGCTATTTCTACGTCGGCTTGAATGCTAAAAGTGTTTCGCCGTTGTCAGCGAGTCGCTGGGGAGTCTGCTCCCCGCTGCGTCCATTGCGGGGGCCGGACGGAAGGCTCTGGCCCCCACTCTGAGCTGCTGGCTTGTTTTCACAGGCGGCATCATGGGAACTCGCTCAAAGTGCAGGATAAATAGACTTTACAGGCGTACTCAGTTAGAGCCCAATTTATTTCATGGTAGCTACATATAGCTATTTCTGGCCACATAAGTGACACGCATCACTCTATGACGCACAAAAACACACCCTTTGCGTCGATATCCAAGCCTTTAGGCACACCGGTGTCGAACAACAATGATAAAGCTGCACACGCCAACTACTTTATTCCTAGGCAATGAACGGACGCACTCTTATTTCTCGATTTAAAAGCTGAGCGAAACCTGAGGGCGGTGAAGGTGGCCGGCTCACCTCGTCCTTGTACTTGACGATGTAGGAGTAGATCTCGTGCAGGGCGCTCATGCTGTTGAACTGGTTGAGGTGAAGGCGGGATTGCTCCGCCAGGTACGCGCTCATGTCCTGGTCGCTGATCGCCGGCATCCGTGAAATGTCCGAGTAGTACCTGTGCGGGGGCGGACGGGGAGGGGACCATGCTGGTCAACCGATGGAGCTCAGAAAAACCTGCCGTTGAGACTAACGAGGATTCACACTTCAGTTTGGGTTTGAACCCATGCTGGTCAAAGACTTGTACACTGCATCCAATTAATTAGTTTCTTTATTTAGTAGATCCTTTTATCCAAAGCAACATACAATTGAAAGCAGGGCAAACCAGTCCGTGGGGCAACTGGGGGTTCATAGCTTCGCTTAAGGGCCCAATGGTGAAATCCCTCTGCTGACTCTGAGATTTGAACTGACAGCCTCCTGATCACAGGCACAGTGTTCTAGCCCCCGACTAAATTCAACCAAGCCAGCTGAATTTTAATAGAGGTTTGGCCTCGTAATTAATGTGGGGAACAGCTGGGGGGGTGGGAGGCGGGGGTTTCAATACCTTTCCACCCAGTTCTTGTAGTTGGGGATGTCTTTCGCGTAGAGCAGCTTGTTGGAGGGCGAGTCCTTGCCCAGCTTGTGCTCGGAGGTGGAGCAGGAGTCCATGAAGGTCTGGGCCACCACGGAGAGACAGGCGTCCGTGATGCTGTTCTTGTGGATGTCGAAGACGAACTGCGGATTCTTGATCACGTTCACCCAGAAACGCAGCGGGAGGCTGAGCGGCGCAATAAGATGGGCGTAAAAACAGAAAATGCCCATTGAAAATCATAACAGTCATAACACAGCTGCTCTGTAGGTCCCTAATCAAGCCCATTCTTCAGCAAAAGTAGCGGAGAATAAGAGCTAACAGAACCCCAGGAGCAGAACCAACACCACGGCGTTAATGGGGAGGATCCAGTTAAACCAGTATACATACAGGGCACATTAAAGAAACAGCCTGACACAAGCACACCTGACTGCTATTAATATCAGTATTAAAACATAATTATACTGCAATTAATGGTAAGCTCATGTGAAATGCATGTCGCATTATACGAAAACCAAAGCAGGGAAAAATGCTATAATAGAATATTAAATGTTAACCTCTCACAGAGGATTGGGGGAAAATGTAGGCAGCCCAAGGAAACAAGGAGAGGGTTGTGCCAAGCTGAAGGCACCACATGGACCCAGCGGCCAGATGGGAGACACGTTGCCCTCTTCCCTGTTTAGAGTACATCCCACTGGCCGGCAGACTCACCAGTTGCTCTTCCAGGTGTGGCGCACGTCAGGGTCCGAGATCTGGTGCTTGTCGGCCTGCTCGTCCAGGAAGTCAAACATGTACTTGATGGCGAGGGGCAGGGCGCTGCCACGGTGGGCCGTGCTGAAGATGGTCTCAAACAGGTCGTCCACGAACTTCTGCAGTGTGCCCTGGGGGGACAAGGCGCCCTGGTGACTGATCACGGCCACTTAGCGTCTAAGGTCTGATTCCCCGTGAAGAGCCGAAGCTGTAACAGTCACTTGGTTTGGTACATCCTCCCTCTCGGACACAAAACCTCTGACTAACAGTAACAGTAACACTAGCTCATGCTACAGTTGGCTATACAGCCTGGCTCCATAAAAGCTCACAGACACGCAGAATGGTTGACGTCTAATGGCCAAAAAGGCTTTGAAGGCACCACCATAAATTAAGCACGGAGTTGGGGGGTTGGAACCAGGGGAATATGTACCCCTTAATTAATTTGGTTTCATTTATCCCTCCCCCCAAGAAAATAGGCCTTCATATTGAAATTATTGAGTCCCCCCCCCCCACCCGATATCAAATGCTCTCCTATGACCTTTCATGGAGTGACTTAACCTCCACGTTGACATCTGCCAACGTTTGTCAGCGTCACAGAATGGACTCATTAACAATGTCATTTTTGTCGATCAAGGTTTACACGCCCATTTTCTGTACTCCCTTAACACCTGACGTGTTGAGTAAGTGCGACTTAACGCCACTAACCCTACCCATCACCTGGAATGCAGCAGGATCCTGTCTACATATCCAAGAGCAGCAAAGATGGCGTTTTTGGATCTGAACCAATAAACGCTAGCTACGCTTTAGCGACCGTAAGCCTACCTGCCTGCCTGCACTCCGGCCACACCTGCATCTCCTCGTTCCGTTTTCGGTCTGCGTTTTGCTCACTGACACGTGTGCTCATCGGGGGAACAAACTCAGGCGGCCAGAGCAGCGGGACGCAATGGATTAACTGCAATGACGATGAGCGGCGAGCTAACGGCGGCAGCGCTAATGCTAAATCACAGCGCATTAGTGGATTAGCGGCGAACGCGTCGGGGGGTGGGGCATTAACGATGCAGGGTCCTTCCCAGTTTAGGGGCAGGTGGCCACATTCTGTGAGCAGAGATGCGTTTTAACGAGGTTCTCCTATTAAAGGAGGCCGTTCTCAGCAAAGTCACCTTCAGTTTGGCTTTTGTTTCACTCATAAAATGAAGTGCGTTTCCCCTTAATGTCTGGATAGATTAATACAGCTTCTCAAGTCAGGTTTTACGGCACTCGCACACACACGCTGAGTGAATTTTGGGGATGGGCACACTTTAATAGTCTGCTTTCCCTTTCAAATCGTAACAGCAAGCCATCCCATTAGAAAGGCAGCTACGGCTAACTGGCAATCTTCCCGTCTGTCATGGGAGGACAGGGAGGTTCTGCAGTTACCTTGGTGGCCAGCAGGCGGGTCAGGTAGATCTCGGACACCATCTTGCTGCCGCGGTCACCCTCCCGCTGGTCGGCGTGGTCGTGGTTCTTCACCAGGTGCCACAGCTTGGTGCCGCTCTCCAGGTCGGGCGTGATCATGGGTGTGCGGGAGCGCAGGCTGTCGGGGCTGCTGGCCGTCCGGAGCATGCTCTCTGTGTCCAGCAGGGGGCAGGAGTGGGAGAGATCTCATTCAGGCAAATCAAAAGCAAAATGATTTTCAGGAAGCGAAGGACGAGGACACAATCACCCCCCCCCCCAAAAACCGTGGATGTGCAGCCACCAGCAGCCTATCCGGCTGTTAGCCAGACAGGAAGAAAAAAAAATGGAAGCACAGCATGAATTGTGGGAGCCGTCTGAACATCTGTTTGGGTGGGGGTAGGACGGCAACCAGACACACAAAACATCAGAAGCCATTTTTAACGAGAAAATAAAAGGATTCCCAAGGATGCCATTTTAGGGGAAATGTTCATTAAATAGTCGCTCATTCTGATTACTCTCATTTCCGACATCGCACTAATTGGCGAAGTGGAAAGAGCACGCAGCACGAGCTACACATGCGATTAACCATCAGCGGCTGGAACCAAACTTCATTCCCAATGATTTGATTTTGAATTTATTGATTTTATTTCCCCCTCCACAATTATGTATCAGCTGTAGAAATAAAACAATTTAGCATGGCATAAAAACGGTAAACACTGAGCATATGAATATCATAACACGATAAACAGGAACACAGCCAACAAGGCACAGTTGTCAGGCCACTGCATAGGGTGTGTATACAGGGGTGGGGCCACAGAAGCCCTGGCACAAGCTAAAACCTGATTGGCCCCTGAAGTGCCCCCCCCCCCATTCACCAATAAAAAAAAGATATCATTGGTTAATGATTAGGATGGTCCCTCATCATGAATTACGGTTCCTCTTACGCCCCGCACCTTAGAATTGCTCACGCGCCTTTGATCTGGTGAAGTGCATGACCAGCGGTAAGGAAATCCAATCCTATTGCACGAGGTCGAGGAGTTTATCGACACAGTGGGTGTGTTGACAGGAGGAGCACGACGCCCCATGAGAAGGGGGCACTGCCAGGCCCAGGGCGCCTTATTCCAGGAACACTTATGTAACACAATCAATGCTGCAAAAAGTAACCAACTGCGCCCCCCCCCCCCCCCCTGCTTCGGAAATGTGAGCAGGATCATAACGCACAGGAGGAGATTAAAACACACAGACTGCTCCGTCGACCTCAAGCGTTCTCACCCCAACCGGCCGCCCCCGGTGGACATGTATCGGAAAAAGGGGATCAAGAGAAATTATGCTGCCTAAGTGCAGTTAGCAGCAAAATCATCCTCAAGAGGTGGGTACAAATAAGACTGCAACTGAATGAGCACCAAAACTGGGGGCTGCAACTGAATGAGCACCGAAACTGGGGGCTGCTACTGAATGAGCACCGAAACTGGGGGCTGCTACTGAATGAGCACCGAAACTGGGGGCTGCAACTGAATGAGCACCGAAACTGGGGGCTGCTACTGAAAAAACGACCTTAGAGGAACAGGAAGTGAGAGTGGTGAAGGGCTGCCAGCAGTGGGCGCCGGTGCACGCTGTCCGCACACTCCCTAACAGGCAACGTCCTCGCACCTCCAAACATGTAACATAAAAGCCTGCTGTGAGGCGGCCTGCCGGGGTTTCCATAGAAACCCCTCATTGATGCAAGATGCCCTGAGGTTTAATGAAATGGAGATCATGTGACGCCAACTTGGCCAACCATTGCCAGGAAGCGGGCTCGTAACACGTGGCACCTACATTGCGTCAGACCACACACAGACTCAAAGGGGCTACGGAGAGGGCGGGCACTGGCGCAAATAGCAGGCCTTACAGTGCCTCCTCCGAAACTCCACAAAGAAGCATTTGACACTGATTATTTTAGGAACACTGGTGAGAAAAGATAGCCACAATCACTGTTCTGAGGATCATAATGTAAGGTGTGATTGTCTTGCAGTGCTGACAGAGACCTGTGCAGAAAGGGCATGGTCCTTCACTGGATATGGGGGACCTGTGAAATGTGTGACGCAACGTGAGTACTATCTGCTTTTCGCTGTGCCAGGCTGGGGTCAGATGTGACATCTAACCACCAGGTTTTGCCGACAATATGTGAAAAGACGGAACACTTAAAGGACCGATGGCGACACTGGATGGAAGGCAGAGTGGAGAAGATGGAGACCTCACCGTATCTGCTGAGGGATTTGGTAAACGTCGACGAATTTGAGATGTTGTAGGCAGAGTTCTGTTTGGGCACGAGGGCGATCACTGAGCCATCTGTCACCTGCGGGGGAAGGACCTCATCATCAGGAACAGTCACCATACATTGATGTGCCAGTCAAAGTGTGGATGTTTCTCAATAAGAGTACTTGACCGTACTTGTGTACCTGTTTTACTTCCATTGCCAAAGACTGGTTCCAATACTCAAGAACAGGAGTACAGAGGATGGTAAAAATCCCTGGATGTTGTTCTTACCCCACCCCAAATATTAAGGATATATCAGTTGTATCCTCACCTAACAAGATCAATCCCATGATTCATTGTGCCTCAAGTTTGTTTTTGGAAGGCAAGTTTGCAAAACCAGTCTTGCCAAGATCACAAGTACACCCTGTGTCTTAAGCCCACCGGATTCCTAGTTCTGGAGCAAGCCTCCTGTTGGACGCACCTGGTAATGCGCAAGCGTATTGAGGCGCTTCCAGTCATTATCGATCTTGGTAGTGACATCTTCGTCCTGAAGGATGATTCGGGCCATCCTACCCTGACGCCATTCTGCACAGCAGGGTGGACATGAGACAGAGTTAGTCGCAGTTATGGGTTGGTACTGAAGCACGGGACAGCACAGCGTGTTTGTGTCCTTACCCAGGTCCATGTCGCTAGCCTTGGGCCTCTGGGAATAAGGGGTTCCTTTGTACACAGCATCCAGAAGCTTCTCCTTCACCTGGGTGATGGTGTCGCAGTTCAGGCCCTTCACCGTCACCTCTGGGGCGTTTTCATTCTCGGGGTTCACGCAGTGCAGTGTCTGCGGGGCACGGCGGCACCACACACCAGGTCAGACAGGGACAGGTGTACTACTAAGTCCAATCATTCTTTACCACCGCTAGCTGCTAAATAACGCTAATCGCCGCTCACCCTGCACTTTCAAGTCAAAGGATTACAGACATGATCATGGCCAATGGCCATTTTGGGCTCCACTGACCAGGGTCTTGTAGTCGATCTGCTGCCGGATGAGCTTGTCCTCGCTCAGGGAGTAGCGGGCCTCGCCGGTGATGGCATCGATGGGACCCTTCTCCATCTGCTGCTTCATGGCGCAGTAGAGCATGAACAAGGGCTCGCCGGCGCACTCCTAAGGGAAGCAGAGGCCACGGAGGAGGCGGTGAGCGGCACGGCCCAACCGAACAAAGGACAAGAGCACCCCCGCAGAGCAGTTGGAGACTGGAGCTAGCAGAGGGCTTCTCAAATGCGTGTGTGGAATGCCGCAACTTCACAAATGTGCAGTGCAGAATGTCGCAACTTCGCAAATGCACAGTGCAGAATGCCACAGCTCTTGAAACCGCACTGCGAGTGAGTGTGCTTCTGGAACGCACATCTCTACGGCAATGCCACTTAAGCAAAACGACAAGACATCCCCCCATTCAGTGTGTGTAGGACAGTTGATGATATCTCAAGTCAGACTTGTGAGGATTAATTCTGCACGTGTGTAGGAAATTCCCACAGAAAATGACATTCCCGTCCATTTTATTGTGCCTGCTATAAAGCCCCATTCTTCTCGAGTCCTGTCCCCGGTGGGCTCCGTGCTGATGCTCAGTGGTGGCCATTCAAAGAGTCCCCGAAAAGCATGATTTAAGGGACCCAACAGACTGGCCCCCTTACATTGGGGGGAGGGAATAACTGGTACTTACGGGAGGTCACGGTTCTAATAACAGCAGCTCAACAATTCCCAGCAACAGAGGCACTTAAACACATTAATCGTATGTCAATGATGCCATTGGGTAGGGAGGACTGAGCATGCACGCGTGCACACACACACACACACACACACACACACACACACACACACACACACACACAAGGGTTTGTAATTATATCTTTGTGGGGACTCTCCATTCATTTCTATGGGGAAAACTAATCCCAGCATGACGAGCTTAACCCCTACCAAGCCCTAACCACAGGTAACCAAACAAAATACAAGAAAGACTTTTGGCATTTTTATTTTTTTGATTGCATTCACAGATCTTTGTGGGGGACCTTAAAAAGGTCCACACAACGTTAAAATAACAGGTTTTTAAGTACATTGTGGGGAACATTTGGTCCCCACAATGTAATATAAACATAATCCACACACACACACACACACACACACACACACACACAAACAGCTGACGGCAGAGGCAGACTGAACTTAATCCTCTAATCCCAGAATCCACCATGAAGCCGAGCCTCTCCCACTGTCACCATATGCTGTTCGCATCTCGTTAGCATCTGCCGTAATTAGACAGCTGCTAACAAGTGGGGGAACACATATATTAATATATTAATTGTGTATGTATAATAAACTGAGGCCCTCTGATAAAGCGGCAGCCTGAAAATACTGCTGATTTAGGGTTTCGGTGCCACGTATGGGCAACTTCTCAGCGGACTCTAGCTGGGGAGAGGCCAGGAACTGGCTTACGCTTAGAGCCAACGGGATGCCCCATGGGGCGCGGGGGAGGGGGGACTCACGACTGCGGAAGAACCAGCATGTGGCCCCCCCAACCTACGGAAATCACGTCAGAGCAAGGGGGGCTAACGTGCTAATGCTGCCAGGATGCTAACACTGACATCCATCGGTAGTCCTCGGCAGCTCGCTATACGACCTCAGCAGATGGGGGCTTCTTCGACAGCAACGTGAGGCCAAAGTCAGCAGTGGGGTAGGAGTAGCCCACCCCCCCCCCCAACAAACCTCCGCAGAAAGCCGATGGCCCTCGCAGAGCATGGCGCAAAGCTAAAGCTAATCAGGCTTAATTAGCACTAAATTGATATCCAGAGGGCTGTGGGAGCGAAGCCAAAAACAAGTGGTGAAACACAACGGGAAAGGGCTAATTGAGTAGCTAGCTCTGGCTGGGCTTTCCCCAGCTCGGCTACACGTGCGGGGAAGGGTGCGGGGGTGGGCGCGGAGGAGAGTGGGGTGAGGGTTGGGGGGACGGGGGGTAAAGCCACAGGAAGACTGGGGAGCTGAGGGATGAGTCACGACGCATCCGCAAGTCAATTCATCCTCCATCACGGGCGCTTCAGACGAGGCGAAACATGCCATTCAGGGTAATTCAGTCTAAATGTCAAGATGGGGCTTCCGTAAATGGAGTACGACCTCTCCTAATCGCACCGACATCACTTCCATTTCAAAACAACGGCCCTTTTTGCGTGCCGAGGTGACGAGAGAGACCGCAGAGACATGAAGACCCAGGCAACCTCGACTGGCGGACGGCGGCAGTTAAAAGCTCCCCTGCCGTAATGGGACGGACACAGCGACAATTCGGTGCCCTTTACGCTCGGAGCTTTACCGTGGCCCAAACACACAGCCTGGACTCGCCATCTCTTCCCCTCCTGCCATCTGTAGCGACCGTGAAGCAAAGCCGATTCGCTCTCCTCGGCACGTCGCGGGCTTACCTTCAGGAACTTGTAGAGCAGGAAGGTGAACCAATTCGTCAGCATCTTCTCCGCCACGGACTCCGTCCTGAGAGCGAGAGGACGAGAGGCAGAGAAAGGCTTCAGCAGCACATCCCGGGAGCGGGCAGCAAGCGTAACCCCACGATACGTGTGGGCGGCAAACACCACGCCTCGCCGTTTTCACCACCGCAGGGCGTGATGGACCCCTTCCTGATAGCTTTCAAACTTTTGCCCTACTTTAACTTAACAGACAAATCACATGAGTCGAGGAACGCTTCACAAACCATTTCCAAATAAACACAAGGAACATTATCGAAATGGACTTCCAATCTTCTGGAAACAATCAAATCTGCGTAATTTAGCATTCTATCATAATTAAACAAAGACAAACTATGACCCCTGAAAAAGTCTGCTGGAAAGTAATTAACAGCTATTGTAATTAATGTACTTTATTACTCCTAATTTGTTAACAGCTCGAAGAAAGTGCACAGGAGATGTGTGATCAGAGGGGATTTGGGAAAACCATTTGTTTTTCCCCATTCCTCCCACTGCGTCCAATAGCCAGCCTTCTGGATTAATTATACATTCTCTGACACTCTGTTTACAGGCGAGAGATGAAATGAGTGTCTTTCTGAATCGGAAAGACGAGCCAAGAGCTGGTTCTGTTGGGGGGGGGGGGGGGGAGCAGGAAGACCGTGCGGCCCAAAGACGCCCATCTGGCCCAGATCAGATTTCACGATCAGCACAAACACGTCCACCTAGGAGAAGGATTCCCAGCGCTGGAGCCCCAAACGCGCAGCACATGATGGGCTGACTACGCCGTGCGAATGGCGCCGCGACAGAAGCACGTAGGTGTGAAACTGCACGCGTGTTCAGTACGTGATGCCTTAAGTGCCATGAACGTTCCAACCCAACTGGGGCTGCACTTTGACAAGTGTATAAACACTCAACCAAGGAAGGCAGCCCTATTGCTCACACTTTAAAAAACAAAAATATAAAACCACAGCGTTAACAGAGTTGCAGTAACACGGATACGTCAAACAAATGAGCGGACAGGGCATTGTAAAACTGCTTAACGTTTCAAAAAAAAAAAATAACACTTTCTGAGAAGAATTTACCTTATTTCAGCATTGCCTGTCAAAACATGGAAATAAGGCATTTAAAAACAGTAGCGAGTGTTATTTTTACTTATACTTTTACGGGGAGCCGGACCGTGACGGAGCAAGGCCACGTGGCATAAATGCTGCCTGCTGAAGCTGAATGCTCAGATTAAGAAACAAGACTCTGGTGTTTGAGACAGGAAGCTGATCAGCAGTCATAAAGGGTCTCCTAATATGTGCCAGCAGCGGATGCAGCGGTTCTATTTTGTTGGTGAGGCCGCTTATCTATCTCCGCCTCTCTATCTTCGCCTCTCTCTCGGGGGATGGTCTGTGTGTTCAGCAGTGTAATCCGCTCTGACGCTGACAGGAGGTGACATCGGGGGCAAAAACAGACTGCGGTCAGGGCCTGGCCGGCCGAAGGCGTGACCACTGACCGACGCAGCAGCAGCTTGGGGTGGTTCTTGCTCTCCAGGTTCTTGTCGATGAGGTCGGAGAGCAGCTGCTTGAGGACGCCGGTGGCGTACTCCATCTCCCCCTGCAGGGCGGTCATGATCAGCGAGGCCACGTTGCCGCGGTCGCGCATGGAGAAGGAGCGCTGCGCCTCCAGGGTGCGGATGAAGGTCAGCAGGAAGTGCTTCTTGTTGAGGAGCTGGCCGAACAAGGTGAGGGCCTTCTCCACGTTGGCCTGCACCTAGGGACAGGATGAGATTGGGTGTCAGTGGGAAAGGAATGCAGAGAGATAAGCACATGATTGGTGTTTTAATGATGCAATGCAGCAGCGGACAGCATGACAGTAGAACATCATTGTCCTATTCTGCTCCTTTAGATGTTCAAGTTCAAACGCCATGTCGGGAGTCTGGAATAACTGATTTCTAGATTAATGGGCAGCAGACTCAGCTCTCTACGGCTTCATTTGACAAAGGGAAGCAAATGTGGATTTCCTTTACAGAAACGAAGAAAATAAACGTCTCCATCCCTCCTGGACCCCTAAACCTGACAGCGTCCTGGTGCACGGCTTCATCCCAGCCCCAGCTAACATGACGCACACATTTTCCAATATGCTTATAAACCATCAAATAACCAGATAAATGTAATATTAACTTCCAGATCTACAGTAAGGACACAGCCACTGCTTTGAGGGTCATGTGACAGACTTAATGACTGTCTAGGACAAAATGAAGACAGTTTTAATATATTAAATGTTAATGTATTAATAATATTTATTTTAATGTATTAATAAAGCAGTGCCTGCCTACATTTCTTAAGAGTGTCCATCCTGCCTTGCATTCACACACGTCCCTCTTCAGGGCAGTTAAAGTATTTTATGGCACCAAGCAGGACTTATGTATGTAAAAACGAACCCCCCCTCATTCAGCAAATGCCGTTGTTGGGTTCACTAAAGAAGAATGATCAAATCACGGTCAAATTCAACTCGAAGTTCAGATGTCCTCACTATAGCGGTGTTTGAGAAATCAGAAAACTAAAAATTAAATGGAAAGCATAAGTGTCAGAATAACCTAATCCTGACAGCAACAATGCAGTCGTATACCTACTGAACTGCAAACCTCCTGTTGAGGCACCACGTACACACTATAAACACACACGTATCTGGCTGGGGTTGAGTTTCACACACCCACCGAGAAGATGAACACCAGCCGCATGTACGTGTGAAATGGTAACAGTGAGATGAGTTCCAGAGACCACCCACAGCGTCCCCAAACCGCCCCCACCTCCATTTCTTTCAGCACAGGGTGGTCCTCAATGCCAGGAAACAGGACCCGCATGGCATAGGTACGGTAGTCCAGGAAGGGGATGCCGGCTCCGTCCAGCTCCTGGGTCAGCTCGTGGATGTCCGTCTGCAGCTCGGCAAATGCTGGTTATTGGGACACACACACACACACGGTCACCTCACCTCATCTGCATGGCAGGTGCACCACACAAATGGCAAGAGAACAAGCAAAAACCGATTAAGAGTCAATCCACCGGAGTCGAGACAAATGAGCTTCGGAAAGTCCACCGCAGGTAGGCGGGCCTTACTGTGCGCTGGCACTCTACGATTGGTGCAATTCATTGAGGATGTACGTTGTGACCAGTGGCAGGTGGATATTGTCAGGTGACAAACAACAATTCCCCCCATCTAGTGGAAGCCCTAACCACCGAATGCACACGTGACGCAGGACACCGAAGGAGCCGCTAACCTGTAGCAGCAAATTAAGGCTTGAAGGACAGCACTGAAAATGGCACCCTCCTAACTGAAGCCGGATAATCCCGATCGGAGGGGAGGGGGCACAACCTTCAGTGCCAAAAACGCCAGACCTCCGGCAGCCTTACTGCTCCTTCAGCTGGCTTTTGATTAGCTGGGGCGTCTCTGTTGGTGCTGGACACCTCATGATCCAGACCTCTCCTCTCATCTTGTGAAAAATGATCCCAGCCCCCCCACATGATTCCTAGCCTTCCGGACTCCACAGGCTTGCACTCATCCTTCCTCCACCGCAAAAAGCGCACACAGAGTTTAAAACTACTATGGGAGCCATTCTGAGGATTATTCACTACTCCCAACCAGGGGATGGAGTCAACTGCGGGTACGAATGCTTCCTGTAAGTCAGTCCCCTGGGACTGGGCTGCCAAGAGCACAAGTATACCCACAAATAAATAGATATTCAAAAAAAACACGCCCTTCCATTATTTGCTTGTTTATTACATCAAGGCAAAATGCAGAGACTGCTCCTGCAGCTAGTGACAGCATGCTGAAGCACAGGGCCAATGGGGTCGTGACCTTTGGACAGACAGCCTTGGTTAATGGCCAATCACCGCGCAGCTTCACTGACGGCCCAGCGGAGAGCACCCGCACCACGCTGACCGTCTGCCCCGTCGAGGGCAACAGGGGACCATGACCTCGCACCGCCACGGCGCCTGTACCCGCACGCTGTCCCTGCTGGATGAAAGTGGTACAACTCCAGAGACAAGCTGAGTTTTAGGGGTGTCGGGGGGTAGAGACTGCCGTGCAAATCCACTTGGCACCCAGATGGATCGCTGGGTATGGCTTTAGGCAATCTCGCTAACTCTGGACACCTGCCTTAAGGAACCAGCAATCCAACGGGGGAAAAAAAAAATAGCTAAATGCTATTGAAGGGCTCGCCTAGATGACCAACAGCGGCACAGTGATCGGATGACAGGAGAAAAATAGGATGTGAGGGGTGGGAATTTCATTATAGGAAAGATGGAGACAGGGATAAGGATGGGAATAAGATGGATTACAGCCAGCAAAGGGTGGCGCAGTCGGGGGGCGACCCAGCAGACAGACACACCTTCCTTGCACTCCAGCGCCACCCGGGACTCCAGGTTGTCCATCTGCAGCTGCAGGCGTTTGAGCGTTCGGTCGGCGTCGCGTGACTTGCGCTTGTAGGCGATGAGCACGGCGATGATGACCAGCAGCAGCAGGCCGCCGCCGGCGCCGATGCCGATGATGGCGGGCCGAGTCAGCAGGCTGTCCGAGTAGATCTGCAGTGTGCCCGGCGAGTACTCGAACCCGCCCACCCGGACCTGTGGCACGCGCAACGCACGATCAGGTCTTGGCGCTGCCCGCCCTCTGTTAGCGTTATTTAAGCAAACTTTAAAAGCTGGACTTCTTCATGGATCACACGCGGGCCAGATACCTGCAGCCTTCAACAACGTGCTGAATGGACCTACACTGGAAAATAAGCCATTACTTGCTTTTAACAAATCAGTCACTGGTTTTCTGATCCGGTTTGCTAGCTGTTGTAACCCCCACCTATCCCCCCCCCCCCCCACTTCCTTAGCAAATTGATCCTTTAAGAAGATGCGGTGAGGATTGGGGGGGGGGGAAGCCCTCCAAACAAACAGGGGGCACAGGATGGGGGGAGACATACTGGCAGTGCTCCAAATTCAGATGCAGCATGGTTTTCCCGGGGGGGAGCGGGGAACGAGCTCAGCTGGGCATGGGGGGGGTAGGGGACGTGGTGCCAAGCCCCCAGGCATGGGCTCGACACGCCCCGCCCCACCCCCCGCCGTTCAGCCATATGTAGGTCAGTTTGTTACGGCAGTGCAAACAGCTGTGCCCTTCCCTCACGGTCACACCGCAGAATAAGAACAGTCGGCATGGGAACGGAAAGCGGGGGCTATTTTTAAATATGGCTGACGGAGGAATAAAAATGACTGAAGACTGAAGGGGGTCTTTGCATCACCTTCAGATCCCCCCCCCCCAACCCGGCCACTGACCAACTGGGGGCTCAAAACTCCCTTGTAATATTACCAAAATCCTGCAAAACCTGAGTTTTTTTTTGGGGGGGGGGGGGGGTGGTGTCACGACTAGGCATAGACTGCACCCGACACAGTGCTAGGATCTCCTGGGAGTCTCCAAACAAGTAGGCGTGTGCAAACGA